TCAGTTCTTCTTCAGGAACTTTCATATGATTGGTCACAGAACGAAAAAAAATATACATATATATGTGCGTCGTATACGTCCATTCATTATGTAAATATATATGTCAGTCATATTTTATATTGTTTTATTGTTTTACACACGCAGCAGCAACATATTTATAGAACTTTTTTTGTATTATTAAATTTTCTGAGAGTAAAAATAATGAATAATCGTAACGAAGCTGAATATTGCAAGAACTCTTTTATTATTAACTGATTGAAAAGAGATTAGGTATGTGAGTGATTTAATAATTAATCACTGATTAATTATTTATATATTTATAAAAAATAAGAATTTATATATTTACAAAAAAATAAAATTGTGTATAAAAAAATATAGATTACAGTACACAAGTACACTGATTACAGTACATAGATTGAGATAAAAAGAAAATGGAATTAATACAAAGAAAAAGAACAAATCACAGTTAATTGAAATAACAGCAAGTATTATATATATGAAAGTTTCTGAAATAAAATCAAATAACTCTAAATCATCACTTTTCAAATTTTTTTTACAAAATGACAGAGAAACAACAAGAACGANTGTGAAGAGTCGGACTTTAAGATTATAGGAAAAATTGATTTTAATAAAAAGTTCTGCCCGTTATTAAAAAAGAATCTTGATGTGCCATTATTGCTCCAACAATAAAAAAGTCTTCTGTTTGGTTTCTTTTTCAAACATTCAAATTAAAATGCCATATGTGAGCTATCACAGACCTTGATTTTTCTAAATGGTTTTTAGATATCGGTGATGGGATGATACCTTTACCATCAACACCTAAAACCCAATTTTCAGTTGAAGTTCCGATTTCTTTAATATCTAATGACATAGTTACCAATGTTTTTGGTATTAGTTTTACCTGTACTGGTATTGAAAAATTTTTCAAGACGTCCAATTCTCTGTCCAAGAAACGAAGGTGTTCGATTAATCAATGAGCGCCTTTCAATAATTTTAAAAATGTTGAACAAAGTAGTTTTTACGTGATTTACTCTGTAAAAAATGATGACGGTATAGACGATCATGATTTATAAGCCAATATTCCGGTAGAGTTTCTAAATACGTTAAACCCATCTGGACTACCACTGTATAAATTAAATTTACAAATAGGTTGTATAGTGATACTTTTGAGAAATCTATCGGTAAACAAAGAATTTTCCTATGGAACTAGAGTGATTGTTAAAGCCTTTCGCCAAAACGTGCTTCAATTGGAAGCTATCACTGATGCATTTTCTGGAACTGTTCATTTTAATCCTAGAATTTCTCTGGATACATCGAATGATCCAGCACTTCCACTCAATTTCGTTAGACACCAGCTTCCAGCTCGGCTTGCATATGCAATGACAATAAATAAGTCTCAAGGTCAAACTTTTGATAAAGTTGACCTCTATCTTCCAGAACCATGCTTTTCTAACGGTCAATTTTATACAGGATATTCAATAGCAACGGAATCCAAAGGTTTAAAGTTCAAGTAAAAGATACCACTAGACAGGGCAAAACGGATAATGGCCAAATAGTAACAAATAATGTTGTTTATCAGGAAATGTTTTCGTGATTTCTGTATGTTTGTTTTTGTGAGTTTATAACTTTAGTCATTTTTTTATTTTTATATCTAATAAATCAAATACTAATGCAAACTTTTTATTAAAATCAATTTTTCCTATAATCTTAAAGTCCGACTCTTCACAGGGGCCTCTAGTTTATTTCTATTGTTTACTAAACAACCAATTAATTTATATGATTGATCATTATATCGGTTGCCATTCTCAATGGTATTTATGAACTAGTTGATGAAAAACTATTAATAGTTTATAAAAAATTATTACAATTAGAAAATAAATCTTTTACAAAACTTAATATTGGAAATAGTATTCATATCGATAAATTTCATTTAATATTGTTTTATTAAATTATATTGATTTAATCATTCGATTAACGACACATACTATCCCGTCTAATTTAAACAACATCTAAACTATCAGCATTATTTTACAAGTCATGTCGATAATGTACTTCAAGATTGAATATGCGGGCTTGTTCAATAGTATTATATACAAAAATGAATGAACAATTTTTTCTTTGTCTTATTCTCATTTATATATCATCGTTGTATAATCAATAAAACAATATTTTATAAGTACTAATAAATATTGATTGAATTATAAAAGAGATTTATATTTAGAATACATGTCTTTATTTGACACGCATCAAGAGGATACAGATGAAGAAAAAAATAATGTCAATGATCAAGAATGAACTGACAATGATGATATTGCATTTTTTGCGAAACTGAAATCAAGTTGAACACTTGCCAGTATTTTAAAAACTATTCATTTTGTTGATGAATGATTAATTATTGTATATCCATATTATTAGATTTAATAATCGAGACGAATGATATCTAATATGAATACAAAACTAAAATTTGGTTCTTTTTTTAAAAATATATATGAACAAAGTTCGACAAATTTTTGTGTTTAAATCTAGACAAATCCTTCAAATTATGTTACATCAAATATAATCGATTGAATTTTTTAATTAGAGAAAAACTTCATTCATTTAATGTAAATATATCTAAGAGAACTTCTGTTTAGGATGCTATATTTTGTGCATTACTAACTGGTATAAAAATTATTGTTGAAGATAAACAATGTGTACAAGGCAATGCTTTTATTGATACATGTGTTTTTGATTCATATGAATTGATGTAACAAGGTCGATTTCGATTTCACCTTGAAACTGTTCTTGTATGATTTCACTTGATACAGTGCTACATGAACCATTACCAACGAACGTTGCTGTACAAATTCATTATCGTGAAAATCAAACACATTCATTACAGCTTTGTAATTTATCATTAGATATTGACTTTATAAACGATCAGAAATAAAATTGGCTTTTTTTAAAATCTCATTTCATAGTTTAGAAGAAGAAGAATGTGTAATTACTGAATGTTTGATTAAAGTATTAGATGATACGGATACGATTGATTTTGATTTTCAAATCCAAAAATGTTGTTACTAAAGTCATTTTCAAAGTTAATAGTTATTTATGAAATAAATACTTTTGATTAACTATTAGTTTTAGGCTAGCGAATTCAAAGAAGTACTTAGCGAAATTGATTTTAAAGATGATTGTAAGTATTTTTTAAAAATTTTTCATTTCATTTTTGTTACGTTTATTTTTTAAAGGTATTGAATTATTGATTACTCAAGATGTTCCACATTTTCGTTTTATTGCTAATGAATGTGGAGGTAGCACATCAGCTGATATCACTCAAAATGCACCTATTATGGATACATTTCTATGTATGGAGCCAGTGTATAATTGGTAATATCTCTTTTATCTTATTTTTTATTTTAATAAACTTATTCTTCAGATATAAAACTCAATTTTTTCACTACAATGTTCGAGTTATTTTTTTTTGACGTTAATTTAAACCAAGTAACTGATTTTATAAAAGAAAATCAACTGATATTAATAAAAGTTTTCTGAATTCTCTGTTAATGTTTTGAAAAATAGACCGAAGTAAAGTAGAAAAATGAAAGTAGCATAGTAGCATGAAGAAATAAGTGAATATTTAGGCAATCGATAAAGCATAGGAAAGTTCGTGCAAATAAATAAGAAAATTTGTTTCAATGCACCGACATGTTTCCAACATCTGCCATTTATTTAAAATGGCTAAAAAATAATTTCTTCTCAGATGAAAATTTGTGCTCATGTGCTCTACGAGTGTTTGAGAAACAGTTGCTCGGTAAATACAGAGTTGAAATTGAAATAATAAATGCATAATTCTTGTAATAGCACTCGTTACAAAAAGATTTTCGTTCAACTATGGTTTAGTTAATGGACACCATTTGCTCGTGAATAAACTGCTTGAAGATAACATTAGAATTTTGCAGCACTCAATCTGATCTAATGCCTGTGTTAGGATACAAACTAGCCGATCTTTTCGATTTCCGAGTATAAAAAAGTGCTGGATTAGCTTTTACGATGATCTCCTACTAATGAAGTTAGTTATTCGAAGTGTTAAATTATGTTTTCATAATAAAAGAATCAGTGACATATATATATGTCGTATCGATATTGACGAAGTTACAACTTCATTGTATAAACGTGACGAAGTTATAACTTCGACAGAGAAACTTGTCGAAGTTATTTGTAATTCACTTATCACTAAATTTTTACTAATAATTATTCATTTTTTTAATAATTAAGATTGTTCATAAATTACGAGGAAAAAAGAGTTATCACTTCAAACTTTCTTCATCTCTATTTGAGTCTGTTTTCGGCAAGAATATAAGATGGATCTAACTCTTAGAAATGATAAGCCTGGTTTTATATAAAACATTACATGAAGATAAATGTGAAAAAAATTGTATGCTTGCGAAACACCAATTCTTTAGTTTAAAAAAATCAAGTAACTTTTAGAACTTTTCATAAAATCAATGTGTATGTCTCCAATATTTTGAAGAATAAAATGTATGGTAATAATAAAAGGGTTAATCCAATAAAACTAATTAAAAATTCAAACATACAGCCAAACAGTCTCAATAAGAGGATCATAATTACTTGATCTATTCTAATGGTTGACTTGTGAGCATTTGTGCGAGTTGAAACCACAAATCCTTCACTTGTTTGTCAACATAAGTACAAAATGTATTTTTATTCATGAAGTATATTCAACGTTTGATTAATGATAGCTTTACCTAATTAATACTATGCATTTTTTTCGAATAATTTATGTTGTAGATATGTGCTATTAGTTCTATTTGTCTTCAATTTTTTTCTTGTAATTTCTGAATAATTTCCATTGTGGAATAAATGAACA